TGAGCTCTGCATGCTTGATGGGGTGGCAAGTTCACTTTATACTTTCTGTTCTTCATGTCAGGATTCTTGATTTCATATTTTATTTCTTTTTGTATGATATAACATTATTGCAATCATACCTACAGAGGATGTCACCAGCTTAATAAGCAGAAGGAGAAAAAAATACCAGCCACCGCACACCATAGAAGATCAGCATGTATCAAGTGATAGCCTACCTCTATACAGACCACATACCCCGACATGTTTAGCCCCACCCACGGGGCTTTGTCATGGAGGTAAGGATATTGCAAGGTAAGAAGGGTATATGTTGCATAATGGGCTGCTGTGGTGATTAACAAGCAACAGGTGAAGACTGAAGAGGGGGAGAGAAGAAAGAAGGGAAAACAAGGAGCACTGCACAGGAAAAAAAAAGGAAATGGGTTTATATAGCCAGCAGTAGCTTCTGGTCTTCTTCATGTCTGGCAAAAAGTATACTATGTGTTGACATGGATGTTAAAGTGAATATGACTCACAACCTATTACAGAAAAAAAAAAATGGAAAATTTAAAAAGTCCACCTCCCAGAAATGAAAACAAAAAGTAAAAAAGAAAATAAAAAGAAAATAAAGAGTGGCCAAAATGAAATAAGAAAAAGAATGCCCTAAAGTCAGCTTAGGTTCACCAGCTCAAATGAATCATTAATATTATTGCCTCTATTGTTGTGTTGTGTAACTCAATCCTTCTTTGTACTGTATGAAGTTAGTGCACACTAGTACTAAGTGGAATTCCTAATGTTCAAATTATATCTAAACAAATTCTCTTTATTTGTTCAAAAAAATGAAAGTTCCTATTGAGTGGGACATGAATTATGTTGATGTGTAAATAGGTTTTACTTTTTCTGTATTGAGATGAAGGTGAGAAGCACTTTGTGGATCAGTATCGGGAGAAGCTCATTCAGAATATAACTATGGTCCATCCAGTATTAGACCATTTACAACAAAGAGATCTTCTGACTCCAGAGCATTGCAGCAATGTGAAGGCTGAAAATACAACCCAGAACCAAATGAGGAAACTGCTGAAATACAGCAGAGGATGGAGACACAATGACAAGGACATTCTCTGTATGGCCCTAAGAGAACACAATCCAGGAGTTCTAGAAAACCTGGAAGGTAAGTCATCATTTGCTAACATTACCAATGAGTCCTCTTTCCTTTGTCAGAATGCAGCAGGAGCCACAGTGTTCACCAACAAGTAATGGGGGAGATAAAGGAACTGGAGAGGAACAAGAGGAATAATACTCATCCTACTGTATCCAGGACATCAGGACACAGATAGTATGTGAGGGAAATAACCAATGATGGGGAGTAGTGAAGAGCTGAACACTCCCTGTTCATTTTGCCATCAAACATTCAAACCTACCGAAAGTTTAACTGCAAACTTTGAAGAGGGGCAATTTACTAAGCTACTACAATCCATCATGAGTTATATTATGAAGTCATGCGGTAATTTAGTGAGACATTCATTCATATTTCAGCTGTGAGTGGGGTTCCCTGCTGACCGCTGAATGGAAAAAGAATTGCTAGCATTGCCTGACAAATTAAAAAAAAAAAAGTGGGGTCCCCCTCATCCATACCAAGCCCTTCAGGACTGGTATGGATTTTGAAGGGAAGCCCCCACACCAAATTTTTATTTTTAAATGGCGTGGGGGTCCCCCCAAAATCCATACCAGATTCTTACCCGAGCATGCAGCCCAGCAGGTCAGGAAAGGGGGGGAATAGCAAACACCCCCTCTCCTGAACCATACTAGGTCACATGTCCTCAACATGGTGGGTGCTTTTGGGTGGGAGGGATCCCCCCCAAGCACCTTGTCCCCATGTTGATGCGGAGAAGGGGCTCTTCCCCACAATCATGGCTAGTGGTTGTGGGCTCTGTGGGTAGAGTTTTATCAGAATCTGGAAGCCCCCTTTAACAAGGGAGCCTCCCCATATGAATGAATGAGTATGGAGTACATGGTACTGCTACCCATTCAAAAAAATGAAAGGAGACAGTCTTTAACAAGTCTTTTATTAAAAACAAAAATAAGAAAGTGTCCCAGAAGTAGATCCAACATCAATCACGATGCCAACCAAACCCAAAAAAAGAAAAAAAAAACACTCCACTCTCAAAGCTGGCTTCCACCGTCTGACTGCTCTGCTAAGATGACAGTTCCTAAATACTGCGATGATGGCACCCCTGCCCTTGTGACATCATCATGCGCTGTGATTGTCCAAAGCATTGCACTTGACCTGTGGTCAGGTGCATTGCTTTGGGAAATTACAATGCACTGTAAGGGCGCAGTGCATTGTGGGGCGTGGCTGGCGAACAGTCCGCAAAACCCCTTACTGTTCATGTGCTCACCAAACACACGAATGGCCCATGTTTGAGTTAAACTTACGTTCGACTCAAACATAAAGCCCAACCCTAATGGGGAGATATGGGGACCAAGGAGGAACATGAGGAATAATACTCATCTTACTGCATCCAAGAGGACATCAGGACACAGGTAGTATGTGAGGGAAATAAAAAATGATGGGGGAGATATGGAGACTGAGGAGGAACATTAGAGTTAATACTCATCATACTACTTCAGGAAGACATCAGGATGTCACAAATTCAAATTAAATAATGTGAAATATTGTCCTATAAACTTTGGGTATATACAGTGGAGAAAATAATGATTTGATCCCCTGCAGATTGTGTAAATTTGCCCACTTACAAACAAATGAAGGGTCTATAATTTTTACAATAGGTGTATTTTAAATGATAGAGACAGAATATCAACAAAAAATCCAGAAAAAACACTTGATACTGAGTTGCAGTTTAGTGAGTATAGAATAAGATAAAATTAGTATTTGATCCCCAAGCAAAGCACGACTTAGTACTTGGTGGAGAATCCCTTGTTGGCAAGCACAAAGGTCAGACGTTTCTTGTAGTTGGCCCCCAGGTTTGCAGACATCTCAGGAGGGATTTTGGTCCACTCTTCTTTACAGATCTTCATTTAACCTCCCTGGCGGTATTCCTGAGTGTAGCTCGGGGTAAAGTTTCAGCACCACAAGCGGTGACCCCGAGCTACACTCGGGCTTACCATGCAGTGCTGTTCCGGCATCTGTTCTTCACTTACCTTGTCCTGCGCTCCCGCGATGTCCCTCCTGCAGTGTCCCCTGTAATGTCCTCCGGCCGATGCCGGCATCTGTTATATGGGTTCCGTTCCCTGCGAGTGTCGGGACGTACGAGGGCCGGAACTGGCGGGAAATTTGAAAATGACAAAAAGTGACATTCACTAAATACACTAAAATCACATAGTATAACATTCCTGTATCAAACCAATTTCACATACATTTTGTCCCGAGTGCTTTGTCCGGCGCCCTGCCTGCATTGTTACTGTTCTTTCTGCCTGGAAACGGAGAAATGTCCATGGCGTCCAAAAAGCGCCCCTTTACGTCAAAATCGGTTTTAGACCGGCTAGAGAACAGCGATAGTAAATCAGAACCACTTGCAGAATTGAGTGATGATTTGTGGGGGAAATTCCTCATCAGACACTGAAAACGATTCTGCGACTTTGCTCAGCGATGTGCGAACTTGGCGCTATATTTCACATTTCAGTGTTTTTGGTTTGATTATATTATTGAATTACATTTATTATTATTATATTATTATTTTTTATGATTATTTATTAAATTATTATTTATGATTTCGTGTTTCAAGTTTTATCATCCCCGGGATGTTTACTAGACTCTTGTTCAGACAGATTTCAGTGAGTTATTCCTAACAATTACAGCCTACAATAAAAAAAATACATATTTCCATGCAAAAAAATGGTACCGCTTTCAGCACAGAAATACTGACATAATCATACCGCTAGGGAAGTTAAATCTTTAAGGTTTCTTGGCTGTCACTTGGCAACTTGAAATTTCAGCTCCCTCCAAAACTTTTCTACAGGATTATGGTTTGGAGATGGGCTAGGCCACTCCAGGATCTTAATGTGCTTCTTCTTCAGATACTTCATTGTTGCCTTGGTTGTATGTTTTGAGTTATTGTCATGCTGGAAGACCCATCCATGACCCATCTTCAGTGTTCTGGCTGAGGGAAAAAAGGTTCTCATCCAAGATTTTACAATGCATGGCCCCGTCCATTGGCCCCTAAATATGGCAAAGTCAGTGTGTACCTTTAGCCAAGACACAGCCCCAAAGTATAATGTTTCCATCTCTGTGTTTGACTTTAGGGATGGTGCTCTAGGGATCATAGTCAGCATTTTCTTCCTCTAAACACGGTGTGACAAGTTAATGCCGAAGAGCTCAATTTTGGTCTCATCTGACCACAGCACTTTTTCCCACTCCTTTTCTTAATTATTTAGATGTTCATTGGCAAAGTTCAGATGTGCCTGTACATGTGCCTTCTTGAGGAGGGGGAGCTTGTGAGCACTGCAAGATTTCAATTCATGGTGGTGTATTGTTTTACCAATGGTTTGTTTGGTGACTGTGGTCCCAACGTTTGGACTCATCTGACCACAGCACTTTCTCCTAATCCTTCTCTGAATCATGTAGATGTTCTTTGACAGCTCTTTGGTCTTGCCCTTGGTGGTGCCCAAAAAAGAGATTTTGTGTACAGGTGTCTTTTATACACATAAGGAGTTGTCATTAGGAGCACCTTCTTAACCACTTCCATACCGGGCACTTTTACCCCCTTCCTGCCCAGGCCAGTTTTCAGGTTTCAGCGCTCTCACACTTTGACTGACAATTGCGCGGTCATACAACATTGTACCCAAACTAAAATTGTATCATTTTCTTAACACAACTAAAGCTTTCTTTTGGTGGTATTTAATCACCGCTGGGGTTTTTACTGTTTGCTAAATCAACAAAAAAATACCACAATTTTTGAAAAAACAAACACGTTTTTCTTTGTTTTTGTTATAAAAGTTTGCAAATAAATAATTGTTCTTCATAAATTTAGGCCGAGATGTATTCTGCTACATGTCTTTGGTGAAAATAACCCAAATTAGTATGTATTGTTTAGTCTGCAGGAAAGTTATAGAGTTCACAAACTATGGCAGATATCTGAAAATTAATCAATCCTGAAGTGCTGACAGCCAATCTAATTTCTTGAGGTCCAAGAATGTCAGAACAGTACAGATATCCCCCAAATGTCAGGACGGTACAGATATCCCCCAAATTTAAGAACGGTACAGATATCCCCCCAAATGTCAGGACGGTACAGATATCCCCCAAATGTCAGGACGGTACAGATATCCCCCAAATGTCAGGACAGTACAGATATCCCCAAATGTCAGGACAGTACAGATATCCCCCAAATGTCAGGACAGTACAGATATCCCCCAAATGTCAGGACAGTACAGATATCCCCCAAATGTCAGGACAGTACAGATATCCCCCCCAAATGTCAGGACAGTACAGATATCCCCCAAATGTCAGGACAGTACAGATATCCCCCAAATGTCAGGACAGTACAGATATCCCCCAAATGATCCCCCAAATGTCAGAACAGTACAGATATCCCCCAAATGTCAGGATGGTACAGATATCCCCCCCAAATGTCAGAACGGTATAGATATCCCCCAAATGTCAGAACGGTGTACAGATATCCCCCAAATGTCAGGACAGTACAGATATCCCCCAAATGTCAGGACAGTACAGATATCCCCCAAATGTCAGGACAGTACAGATATCCCCCCAAATGTCAGGACAGTAGATATCCCGCAAATGTCAGGACAGTACAGATATCCCGCAAATGTCAGGACAGTACAGATATCCCCCAAATGTCAGGACAGTACAGATATCCCCCAAATGTCAGGACAGTACAGATATCCCCCAAATGTCAGGACAGTACAGATATCCCCCAAATGTCAGGACAGTACAGATATCCCGCAAATGTCAGGACAGTACAGATATCCCCCAAATGTCAGGACAGTACAGATATCCCCCCAAATGCAAATGTCAGGACAGTACAGATATCCCCCAAATGTCAGGACAGTACAGATATCCCCCAAATGTCAGGACAGTACAGATATCCTGCAAATGTCAGGACAGTACAGATATCCCGCAAATGTCAGGACAGTACAGATATCCCCCAAATGTCAGGACAGTACAGATACGCCCCAAATGTCAGGACAGTACAGATATCCCGCAAATGTCAGAACAGTACAGATACCCCCCAAATGTCAGGACAGTACAGATATCCCGCAAATGTCAGGACAGTACAGATATCCCTCAAATGTCAGGACAGTACAGATATCCCCAAATGTCAGGACAGTACAGATATCCCCCAAATGTCAGGACAGTACAGATATCCCCCCAAATGTCAGGACAGTACAGATATCCCCCAAATGTCAGAACAGTACAGATATCCCCCAAATGTCAGGACAGTACAGTACAGACATCCCCCAAAATGTCAGGACGGTACAGATATCCCCCAAATGTAAGGACGGTACAGATATCCCCCAAATGTCAGGACGGTACAGATATCCCCAAATGTCAGGACAGTACAGATATCCCGCAAATGTCAGGACAGTACAGATATCCCCCAAATGTCAGGACAGTACAGATATCCCCCAAATGACCTTTTTTTGCAAAGTAGACAGTCCGACGTATTTCATAAGAGGTATAAGAGTTTTTTGAAGTTGTAATTTTTTTGTCATCATTTTTTGGAAAATGAAGAAATAAAAAATGATTTTCACTATTTTTTTTTACATACTGCCACCAGAGCAGTACAGCGTCATCATATAACTGGCATGGTGGTGATCAGGGACACTGACTGGTGACAGTACAAAAAAAAAAAAATTTTTTTTTTTTTTTATTATTTTTACATTTTTATTACTTTTTTTTCTCTTTAAGATTTTTTTTTCATATTTCACTATGACCAAAGCAGTATAATGTTACCATAGTAACATTGTACTACTTTGGGGAAGTGATCAGTATTTTTTTTTTTTCACACAATTTGCTCATAGCAAAGAATTACTTTGCTATAAGCAAGCAATTACCTGAATGAAATCGATTCATTCAGGTTTTTTTTTGTGCTTAGCTGTGATTTGGCCACAGCTAATCACATGACACAGATGGGCTGTGATTGGCCCAGCTTGTGCATGTGATCACTGTGACCATTCACAGCTAGACACACTTGTATACAAAGGATGGCATGAAAGGAAGCCATCCATTGTATACAACTGTCATGTGACCTGCTGTGATTGGTCACATCAGGTCACAAGGTACTGGCAATGGGGCCGGTACACAGATCTGTCATCGACTGTGTCCGAGGTACATTGCCGGCGACAGTTTGTGTCGCAGCACGGCCCTGCAGGCATGTGCAACGCGCTTTCCGAAAAGGACACCATATGGCGTCCATCCAGAGGGACGAGGTGTTGGCCAACCCGCCATCTGGTTATAGGCCGGGCGGCAACTGGTTACATTGACAGGACTGATCTGTGACCACATGAGCACATAGTCAGTCTGTGGGAGCCAGAATCATTCTTGGTTGGTAGGGGATCAAATACTTATTTTACTCACTGAACTGCAACTCAATTTTATAACATTTGTATCATGTTTTTTTCTTTATTTTTGGTTGATATTCTGTCTCTATCATTTAAAATACACTTGTGATAAAAATTATAGACCCTTAATTTCTTTGTAAGTGGGCAAACGTACACAATCTGCAGGGGATCAAATAATTATTTACCCCACTGTATATGGGCTGAAATCCAAATTCTGTCTGAATTCCCATTTATCAGAGTTGGTAGAAAGGGCAAGTACACTAAGATATAAAGCATACGATCAATGGAATAGGTTATAGGCAGCCTATTTAGAAGGCTGTCTTATTGTGAGATATGTTTCAGAACTCTTCCAACAGGAAAACATATTGTAATAGATCTATGCTGCCTCATATAATTTGTGAAGGGTAACTTTCATCATGCAGAACAAGATGCTGGTGAGGCTCAGGAGAAACCAGAAATCTGTGGGAAGCACTGACATCTCATAGGAAGGACATAGGGAAGTCAAGAGATTTCTGATGCTGAAGGACAAAGATGGGATATCAGTAGAAAGGAACTGTGATGTGTAACATCAATAAAGGCACTCTGGAGGATGAAGATGGAGAAGACATTTACTACTTTACATGACCAATAAACCAGCAGATTATCTATTCTCTTGGAAGTGTAATCCTGTGTATATTTGTTTGTATACAGAGATGCTAGTTTATATAATAAATAATATGATGGCCATACTGGTTGATGCCTTCTTTAATCTAATATCTGCTTATTAACTATACAAATATGTATGCAATTCAGTTGCAGATCTAAAATAAGTATTTGATCCCCTACCAACCAACAATAATTCTGGCTCCCACAGACTGTCTATGTGCTCATGTGGTACACAGATTAGTCCTGTCAATTTAAGAAGGAGCTGCTAATAAAAACTCGTTATATGTATAAGAGACACCTGACCACAGAATCTTTTTTCCATCGAAACCTCACCAATATGGACAAGACCAAAGAGCTGTCAAAGGATGTCAAGGACAAGATTGTAGACCTGCACAAGGCTGGACTGGGCTACAAGACATCAGCAAGAAGCTTGGGGGGAAGGAGATAACTATTGGAGCAATTATTCAACTTTTACATATGAATTGGAAGGACTTTTCAATCTGAGCAAACCTCACCAAATAAATATATTTCTATAAGTTTTTTATGAAATACCAAAAAAGAGTATTTAGCAAATACAGAAATATTTATATTTTTTATTTTCTTTTAAAAATATAAAACAGGAAGGAATGAAGACCGACGACTGCCAGACAAGGTGAAAAAGTCCAATGTAAATCACGTAGGAGGTAAGAGTTTGCATATTGTACATACATGTACTCATACTTCCAATACACATGTAATTTTTTGTCTTGATCATGATTTTGTGATTATACTTCCCTGTTATACAACTGACAAAAAATCAGAAATGGCCATTACCAATCCTCTACATCCCACACAGATCTGATGTTGTTATTCACTGGAATAAAGACACAGGAGAGGTGAGGGAAAAAGACTTCAGAAAAACAAGAGAGGAGGGTGACAGACTGCAGAGACACAGGAGAGGGGAGGGTGACAGACTGCAGAGACACAGGAGAGAGGAGGGTGACAGACTGCAGAGACACAGGAGAGGGGAGGGTGACAGACTTCAGAGACACAGGAGAGAGGAGGGAGAAAGACTTCAGAAACACAGGAACACAGAGAGAGAGGGTGACAGACTTCAGAGACACAGGAGAGAGGAGGGAGAAAAGACTTCAGAGACACAGGAGAGAGGAGGGTGACAGACTGCAGAAACACAGGAGAGAGGAGGGTGAAAGACTGCAGAGACACAGGAGAGAGGAGGGGGTGACAGACTGCAGAGACACAGGAGAGGGGAGGGTGACAGACTTCAGAGACACAGGAGAGAGGAGGGTGAAAGACTTCAGAGACACAGGAGAGAGGAGGGTGAGACAGACTGCAGAGACACAGGAGAGAGGAGGGTGACAGACTTCAGAGACACAGGAGAGAGGAGGGTGACAGACTTCAGAGACACAGGAGAGAGGAGGGTGAAAGACTTCAGAGACACAGGAGAGAGGAGGGGAAAGACTTCAGAGACACAGGAGAGAGGAGGGTGAAAGACTTCAGAGACACAGGAGAGAGGAGGGTGACAGACTTCAGAGACACAGGAGAGAGGAGGGTGAAAGACTTCAGAGACACAGGAGAGGAGGAGGGTGAAAGACTTCAGAGACACAGGAGAGAGGAGGGTGACAGACTGCAGAGACACAGGAGAGGAGGGTGAAAGACTTCAGAGACACAGGAGAGAGGAGGGTGACAGACTGCAGAGACACAGGAGAGAGGAGGGTGACAGACTTCAGAGACACAGGAGAGAGGAGGGTGACAGACTTCAGAGACACAGGAGAGAGGAGGGTGAAAGACTTCAGAGACACAGGAGAGAGGAGGGTGAAAGACTTCAGAGACACAGGAGAGAGGAGGGTGAAAGACTTCAGAGACACAGGAGAGAGGAGGGTGAAAGACTTCAGAGACACAGGAGAGAGGAGGGTGACAGACTGCAGAGACACAGGAGAGAGGAGGGTGACAGACTGCAGAGACACAGGAGAGAGGAGGGTGACAGACTGCAGAGACACAGGAGAGAGGAGGGTGACAGACTGCAGAGACACAGGAGAGAGGAGGGTGAAAGACTTCAGAGACACAGGAGAGAGGAGGGTGACAGACTGCAGAGACACAGGAGAGAGGAGGGTGACAGACTGCAGAGACACAGGAGAGAGGAGGGTGAAAGACTGCAGAGACACAGGAGAGAGGAGGGTGACAGACTTCAGAGACACAGGAGAGAGGAGGGTGAAAGACTTCAGAGACA